GAGCTAAAGCAAGGTAAGGTAATTCATGCAAGTTTATGGAAAGTAGATTGTCAGACTAATTTGATATCATCTTTTAATGAGATTACAAATTTGGTGGATAAAGTAAATTCATGTAACACATTTAGATTTGACTCAATGCCATGTAACTTGGATTGAAAATCGAGAACAATAGAAAATGAATATGGTACACGTTAAATGGATTAACATGGACTGCTAGGTCACAATTAGATTATAAATGGGGGATTGTCATTGGACGGGTATGTTTTCAGTGGGATCCTGCAGTGATTGTTCCTTTGCCCTATGCTATTAAACAGCTAATAAAGTTTTGCAGACCATATAAATTGGGGGAGTGGCAACTAATGAAGGTTGCTAGTTAAGAGCAATTTGGATTGCTTGGTATATTGGGGGCAAGTACACACTGTAAATGTATGCGTCTAGGAGCAGAAATCTAGGCCAGTGATTCCCAACCTTTTTCCCATGGAGGAACCCCTAAGAATTTTTCATATCCCGAGGAACCTATAAAAATGTTTGCTTGGCCAGAAAAAGTTGACAGCGGGGAGCGCAATTCAATTACTGCTAAATTGTCAAGAAAATTTATTTGTAAAGAGCTGTTTTGTTTATTACACACACACACACACACACACGTCTTCTTACATTGTAAGAAAAAAATTATGTATTTATTCCATGATTTCTTGCGGAACCCCTGACGATGGTCTGCAGAACCCCAGGGTTCCGTGGAACCCTGGTTGGGAAACACTGTTCTAGGCCTACTTAAGAGCTACAAAACAGCATGCAAAGAGCAAATGTGAACCTGGGATGCGGGACAAGGAGAATTTTGAGTAGGACTAGACAGGTTCCATTAGTGCAGCTGCTGCTGGAATTATTTCCAGTTCTGACGCCCACAATTAAACAAGGAGGCTGATAAATTAGAGAGGGTTCCAAGAAGAGCCATGAGACTGATTAAAGGATGAGAAATGTGCCGGAGAGCAAGACGGCAGGAGCTCTGTCTCTTCCATAACAAAGAGAGAGCTTGATTCCATCTGTCAGTAGCTGCTTGGGGAACAAGTATTTAATAATGGGCTCTTCAGTTGAGCAGATGTTGTTCTAAGCTCATCCGTTGGCTGGGAGTTGGAGTTAGACATTCAGACGAGAAATAAGGGGGGCATTTTTAGAGATAAGTAATTCTTGAAATAATTTACCGAGGGTCGTGGGGGAGGCTCACTCACTGAGAATTTTAAAATAAAGGGGGCATGTTTTTCAGAAGTCTGCTCCAGGAATTTTCTGGCCAGAGGATTGCAATGATCCTTTCTGGCCCTTGAATCTGAGACTCGCTGTTATGCCGCAGTTTATCTGAAACCTGTTCAGCTTGTATCAGGCATTGCCCATTGTGATTCCTCTCCCAGGTGTAGAAAATGCTGTGGAACATGGCCCGTGTGGATACTTTTCATCACACCCCAAGTGGGGAAGCAAGTGTAGCCCTGGCTTGACATAAGTAACTTCCCTCATGTTGTAGTGGGCACAGTTGGGAAGGTGAATGGAGGGTTGAGTTGTAAGTGGGGACTTGACAAATAGGATTCTGGGCTAGGTAAGATAAGCATGCAACAGACCAGATAAACCTGGAGTGCAAAGATCAGGTTCCATGAAACTGCACATGGACAAGCAGACTGTACTAGGAAGATCGCCTTGTTATTTTAGATGGCCTTCTGCATGGCATGAGACACATGGAAAAGTAGCTTGGGCAAGACATACAGCAGGGGTCTACTATTTTAGATGGCCTTCTGCATGGCATGAGACACTTGGAAAAGTGGCTTGGGCAAGACACACAGCAGGGGTCTATTTCGGCTGCTGACCTGTAAAACACCATCGTATAGAAGCGTAGTGTTGGAAGGGGCCACAAATGCCGCCTTCAGTCTCCTCCACAAATACCGAGCAACCTAGAGGCACCTTTGCTTACACCCTTGGCATCTGTGTTGGTCCGACAGTGTGGTCTAGCAGCCGTGTACAAAGCTTGGGTATTATGCAGGGGCGCGTAATCACCGTGTTGTTCAGCCAAAGCTTTTCGTCTCTCGTCAGACTCAAGCATGCAAAAATTACCCAGCTGAAAGAGCGATCGATCTCAGAATAATTTTCAACATGGGTAAGTTGAGCTAACAATTAGAGATGCTGTACCTGCCAAAGGGGGGTCCCGGCACCGTTTAGAACATCATTGTGGATTGCATTGAGTGTGTGACACACCATTATGCTGGCAGCTTTGATAATGACCCTAAAATATCCAGTCTCCTTGATGTCAAGTGACCACTGCCAGCCGAGCCCTTACCTGACCCACTCTGAGTTGAAACAGACCAGATACGACGCAGCTGGCAGCATGCTCCCATGGCAACTGCCAAATGCAAAATGTGTGGCTTGCATGTAAAGCAGACGGACTGGTCCTGGCTGGTACGTATGACCCCGAAGGGTCCTGTGATGCCCTCAGAGCATGTCTAGCTGCACCTAATCTGCATTGACAGCGCTAAGTCGCCTGATGAGTCTCTCGTGATGTATTGCACTGCCAGCCACCAGTGATGTGGGGGGACCGTTTTAGAGCATGACTTGACTGGTGATTTAGGGTTTCTGATGAGCTGCTGGGTGTTGTCCGCAAATCACCCACATCTCTTGCACTTGCTGAGCCTCCACCTGAGTGGAGGGGTTGAAGGCTGCTCAAGTGTCCCAGCTCCGGTCTCAGCACTATTCCAGCTGACACTTTTAGACACGAATGAAATCTCTTTCATGGGCTGTCTGATTTTATTTTATTTTTTTTCTTTAGACACGAATGAAATCTCTTTCATGGGCTGTCTGATTTTTTTGATTTTTTTTTTTTTTCATCTGGGCGTTGAAGAAATCCTACCGCAGCAATTGTGAGATGCCAATATAGTTATCGTCTATAAGCATCAAGGCTCAAAGTGACTGTGGTAACTGCCATCAGGGGCAGCCCGTGGCTATAGGCCGACTCAGCTGTCTCCTAGGGCGCCGCCTTCAACGGCTGATGATGTCACCCCATTGATGGCCCATTGACGGCCGTGCAGGGCGCCGCTCCTGACTGCCATGGTATCTCATTGCTCTCCCCTGCTGGAAGGCATCTTGCACAGATCCTCCGGCAGTGACTTCTAACCCAAATCATCTACAACAGTCTTCAGTCACCACGCAACTTTCATGCTCAGTGGAGCACGATTGGCACAGTTTTTGTCATTTAATAATTACAGGGAAAATATTGCAAAAAGATGTTAACCACAATAAAAACCCACACCAGACGAACCACCAGACCTTTTGGGAGTCACTAGCATCCTTGCAGCAAGCCAGGCCATTATGGTCATCACTAGAGGGCAGTTGGAGAGGAGCTGCCACTGCCCGTGCCCAATGCTGTGTCTGTGCTTAGACAGGACGTGGTCTGCACGGCTGCCGTTCTGCTACTTTCATCAGCATGACAACACACAAGCGCCCACACTATGATAAGTCAGTGGATTTGATCTTTGTTTTACATTTGACTTAGCGAGGTGCCAGACCCACTTTGGCATCCAAGCAGGCCAATGTGGCATTAGTTATTATGGATTTGATCCAAAGCTCATTGAAATCAGCTGGACTCCTTCCATGGATTTCAGTGGGCTTTGGATCAAGCCCTATGTCCTCGTCACTAAAGGAACTTTCTCCCGTTCCCTGGCAGTTAGACTTTCAACTTAAAACACATGCCTGCTGGGAACTTAAAACCCTCGTCTGCCCATCAAACCTTCCATGTGGTATTTGTATTAGCACCTCGGTGCTCCAGCCAGGGGCCGACAGCCCATTATTCTAGGTGCTGAGCAAACACCAAACAGGAGGACCGTATCTGCGCCAAAGAGCGTTGTCTCAGTTTGAGACGAGACACCAGATGGATACAGACTGGTGGGAGAGCACAAGGAAACGACGAGATAATGCGGGGCAGTCTGGGCAGTAGTCTTAGCGTGCCAGCTGCACGAACCATTGTAGGAGACGTTCTTTTAATAGGCATCCCCGCAGAAGAGTTTTGAGAAGGGATTTAAAGGAGTACAGTGAAGTAGCTGTGTGGTTATTTGAGGCATTCCCACCAGGTGGGAGAGGCATCTTGGGAGAGATTGTGGAAGGTGGTTGTTTAGAAATCAAAGTGGGCAGTGAGGGCTGGCGGCAGTGTGCGGCCAAAGTTGGCAGTTGGCATGGGTAGCTGGGAATATGGAATGTTTTAAAATTGGATACAAAATGGCTCCCTTTCCCCTTGAAAAAAGGGAATTTAGCACAATTCTTTCACATCGTGGCTCATCCACTAGTCTCCTTTTATAAGTAATCTATCTGGATCCTAGGCTCATCAGGGAAGGGCTAATGCTCTTTCTATTAGTTTGTAAAGCATCTTGCGCAGGCTGGGTGTTCTATAAATAACACGGCTGTAATTCGCGGGTGCTGTCTGCTGAGGGTTAGGGATGCAGGAAGGTTTAGGACCCTGTTCAAGGTACTTTCAAACAGACAAGGGATGGCCCTTTTCCACAGAGCTCCCAGTCAAAGGCCAGACACAGAAGTTATGGAGCAGGAGTACAGCACACACAGCTTGCTCAAAAGGGGCTTAAATCTGTGCAGGGGGGCTCAAGAAGGCCAGTGTGCCAGGGGGTGCAGAGGAACAGGAAGCTGACAGCAAAGAGTTAAGGGTAGTGGTGTTGGCGAGTCCGGGGGGTGTTGGAGTGAGACCATGGCAAGAATATTGGGAATGGCAGGGCAGCTGAACATGGTCACAGGAAATAATGAAGGGTTGCCATCATGAAAATGACAGGCAAGACAGGTGGCAGCTTTGTCTGAGCTGGTACAGGGCAGTGGGGTGGCTTCTGATGCCATTCTGCTGCAGAGGAGAAACTATTGTCGGTGCCTAGTGACTAATGCTGAGATTGGTTTGGTTTCCCGTGAAATGTGCGTGGCCCTGGAGTAACAGGTCACATTGACTCTGCCCGTTTTCCTGTCTTTGGCAGAAGGATGTTCCAGACGGATTAAAAGAGCTGTCTGGTGGCTCGGAAGAGAGCAGTGACGCGCAGTCGGACTCCCAAAGCTCGGAGAGCAGCAGCAGTAGCAGCAGCAGTGATGGTGGCAATAGCAAAGAGAGGAAGAAAAGCAGATGGAAAAGGAAAGGTAATTTCCCCTTCCAAAGGGATGCTGCCATGCGCAAGGCCTAGGCGTGTCTGCAGAAAGCACTGGGTCCTGGGCAGGTGGCCTGTTGCTCGCTAAGGAAAGCGATGTGACAAGCCTGCTTCCCCCTCTTCCCTAGAGAGGCACGTTTCCTTCGTGTCGCGCTGCGTGCAAGGAAAGGTCCCGGGAAAGGCATCTGCACGTAGCCGCTTGTGTTTGGGCTCTCACAGGCCCAGGCCATGGCCGCCTGCATCTTCCCCAATGCAAGCAGGCACTGCGCCAACTTCCCCCGGCCCGTACCTGCAGGAGGACAGTGCCTTGAAGTGTGATGGAGGATTCCTGCCACGGCGAGCTATGGTGCTGCAGGGGAGCAGTGCTGCGCACTGGATTGCTGACCAGTCCAGAACGCACTGGGACTCGTGCTGAGCCATTCAGCGAGCTTAGAAACCCTGTGAGTTAATGGACCCCCCCCCCATGCGGAATGCAGGGTGTCTTTCTGGACTTGTCCCACGATCCTGGGCCCTATGGACACGTCGCAGAAAGCTTGGGTATTACTTGATTTATGATGGGCTCAATATCTTGTTGATTTATGTGCTTCAGTTATTACACAAACTATATCACATAAATCATTTATTACTGAAATCTTCCCCCTCCACATCTCTGCTTTGTCAGTTGAGCTCACAGGTAGGATACATGGGACCAATCCTACTGAACCTATTTATCCCTTTCTCTAGGTCATTTATAAACAGGGAGGTGGCAACTTTTGCAGATGATACCAAGCTGCTCAAGGTAGCTAAGCCCAGAGCAGACTGTGAAGCGCTTCACAAAGATCTCGCCAAACTGATTGGGAAACAAAATGGCAAATGAAATGTAATGTTGACAAATGTAAAGTAATGAACATTAGAAAACATCATCTCAGCTATACATACAATGTGATGTATGTATTTATCTGATTTAACTAATTAGACTAATTTAGCTACAGCTACTCAAGAGATCTCGGGGTCACTGTGGATAGTTCTCTGAAAACACCCACTCAGTGTGCAGTGACAGTCAAAAAAGGAAATAGGATGTGAGGAATCATTAAAAAAGCGATTGAGAAGAAGACAGAGAATATCTTTATTGCCTCAATATAAAACCATGGTGCACCCACAGCTTGAATGCTGCGTACAGATGTGGTCACCTCATCTCAAAAAAGCATTATTGGCATTGGAAAAGGTTCAGAGAAGAGCAACAAAAATGATGAGAGATTTGGAACGAGTCCCATATGAAGAGAGATTGAAAAGACTTTTCAGCTTAGAAAAGAGGAGACGAAGGGA